GTTATATCAGTTTAACTGTAGCTCTCATATAAAGACACTATTAGAAAATTAAATACATCGGAATAAAGATAAAATTCAGTCAATTTTAACCCACCTAAAACCGTTTACTGGAAAATGGCCAGGAATGCTTGCGGATTTTTGTTGATCATCAATACTTTTATTGCAAACCAGTGTTATTTAAACTAGAATGCAATGTAAAATTATTCAAATTTGCAATAAAATTAGTTTTTGAAATATATATACTTCTTAGTAATAATAAAGCTATTAAGTGTAATAAGAAATAAATAATCTACTTAGCATTGCACTTAAACTTTATATGAACACATGGAACATATACTGGTATTTGTTTGCTGGTATCTGTTTGCAATATGCCAATAACCTATCGGATTACTTACGACAGAACTTTAATTAAACATTAAAGTTTATCCCTGGCAAGCACATATAGTTTACAAATTACTCCTAAAGTAAAATGTTAAACATAGATTTACTTTAAGTAATGTTGGGTTAAAGGCAGTGATGCCAAGTGTAGGGATTTTTCCCTTTTTGTAGGGAATTTTTTCAAAAATTTCACGTGTAGGGAAAAAGGGAAATTTTTCTTACTATTGTAAAATTGTAGGGATTTTTCAATTTCATAGTTTTTAACAACTAAAAATATACTCTTTCATGTACTAAACGTTAAAATTAAAAATGAAATCCGTTTTAAGTGTATCGTTAGTAAAAATTCCGCTTGTAATTTCTACAATATATGTACCTACATATCGCTACAAGACTGGCATAATCCAAAATTCGGGTTTCTTGAACTGAGGTTTACAAAACATACTAAAATCTTTTATATAGATTTATCAAATTTCAAATATGTCTATTATTTTCGATGTGAAATCGATTTTTTGTAAACGTAAAAACTAAAACCCACATTTTCGGTAATATTAGACAACTAAAAATTTAATTTCAATTTAGATGAGAAACATATTAACCTCAACTATCTGAATCTGGATTTTTAAAATCCCTTCATTTGTTTAAAAGTTATTAAAAAAATTGTTAAATGTCATTAAATATTCATATCCATTTTTCTTGAAACGACTTTTTGGATTATGCCAATCCTGTAGGGCGATATATTCTGACTCCTTATAGATAGAGTAGTCGGGGGCTTAATGCAGTAACTCAGGATTGAAAGAATGAATTTAATGTTCTGAAAATTTATAAAAGTAAACCGCAAAAAGTAAACGCAAAAGTAAACCTTATTCAAAATAATTATTTTATGAAATTTTTTTTGTTGGAGGTACATAAAATAAATTTTTAACATCGAATCGTGATACTGCCATAAATCTTTCAATTGTCTTGTTTTTTTTTAATCTTAACTGAAGAGTCAGGGTTGGAAGATTTGTATGATGTAAATTGAAAGAAAAAAATTTTAAATTTAAATTCTAGAAATTTCATTCCTAAAAATTAAAAAAATACATATATACATACATATGTATATTATAAAACGGAGCTAATATTTTAGTTTTTTATGTTATTTTTGTATTTTTTTAAGATAAACTTTGAAAAAAAAAAATGGAAAAAGTAGTGTAGGGAAAAATGTAGGGAAAATAAAAAGTGAGTGTAGGGAAAAAAGGGATTTTTTCTCATAAGCGTAGGGATTTCTGGAAAAAATCTCCTGGCATCACTGGTTAAAGGACTAATTTCATTAGGATACGTAAAATAGTTAATAAATTTCTCCTTAGTCATCTGTTTTAACGACAAACGACTGCTTAAGTCCGGGATATTATGTTCGATAACACTGGTAGACATCAGACATGGAAAATCATCATCAACATAACGGCACTTTTTCCAAAAACATTTTTAGTAAAAAATAAAGAAATTAAATTTTATTTTTTTTTTTAATTTTTGTGTGCTTAGGTAACTTTTGACAACACGTCATAAAAGTGAAGTGACTAATCATAAAGATTTTTCCTATATTTACTCAAAATCGACTTTCATTAAATGTCAAACATTTTATTTTAATAATAATAATAAATTATTTTTTTAAAGATCTAGACTGAGCTAAATGATTGAATAATTCCCTATTATATGTACATCCCGAGACACGACAATTCCCTTTGATAATTTTCTTAAAATTGTCCCCATCTAATGTCGTTGATGATTCACAGTTATTAATTTACAAACCAAAAGACTAGATCCCAGATCTGAATTTTTACATTCTCCTTTGATCGACTAATACTAGAACGAAATCTATTGATCGTGTTATTTTTTTGTCGACCAGATTTCAAAAGAAACAAGCGAGGGTGTTATATTCGGCTGTATCGAATCTCATATACCCACCATCAAACTGTATGTCGTAAAAGGAATGCTCCCCTAAAAACATCAGGGTGATATTTGGAATATGGCTTAAGTCAAATATGGAGCTCTTTTGAATTAACAAAATTTAAATTTAAAAAAACAAAATATTTTTATGAGTAATGTAATGTATGAGTAATTTTCTGAAGAGGACCTTATATGCGTCAATTATGAACCGATACTCATAAAATTTTGTACATAAAATAAAATTTTGTACATAGAATTTGTTTTGCATAGAACTTGTTTTTAAATAAGGAAAACTCGTATTTTAATAAGCAAAACTCTTTCCTGAAGGGAGCCTTTTATAGGGGCTAGGGTCAGTTATAGATCAGTCCTTATTAAATTCCGATTGAAGAATTCCTAAGTATATACTTTTTTATGTCGATTTTCATCGCTGTACACGTAATTTTCTAAATCCTCCTCATCAAATTTTCTAAAGAGGGGGCATTATCTGAGAGGCACGGTCAACTATTGACCTATCATAACTTTTTGTAGACCGATTTTGGTTCATATAAAATTTATTTACATTGAATGTCATTGCTGTACTAGCATTTTATGTCAGTAATTAGAGTTAAAGTATTTTTCTAAAGGGGACTTATATGGGAGGCACCCGCATATTCCGCATGAAATTCGGTAGCAAGATTAACGTTCGTATAAAAATTTCGTATGCCGATTCATTACCGTATTTTTAAGCCAGCAATGATCGTTTAAGTAATTTTTTGAAGGGGACTCGATTTGGGGGGGTAGGGTCGATTATAGACCGATCCACATACAATTTGATAGTGAGATTTTGGCCAGCGAGGAACTTACTTGTATCAACTTCTATCGCTATACTTGTAGTTTTTAACCAATGAGTAATTTTCTGAAGGGGTCCTTGTGTGGGAGGTTTTTGGTAGAGAGATTTTGGATCGCATAAAACTTATGTGTGTCGAATTTCGTTATAGTTATTTTCAGAAGGGAACTTTATATGGGGGTAGCGTCAATTATAGACCGATCCTCAAAAAAAAATTGGTAGAAAGATTTTGGCTCATATGAAACTTATTTATATCGAATTTCATCGCTATACTCGTACTTCTAAAACAGTTAAAGCTGTTTTTTGGAGGTCCACTTGTATGGGGGATAACCGAAAACGTGGACCGATATTGCCCGTGTCAATACCAAGCAAATCTTAGCAATAGAGAATATTTACATAAAATTTTAACTGTCTAACTCTTCCCGTGTGGTCACTGTCGATATTTCAACAGACGGACGGACATGGCTAGATCATCTTATATATACCCAGTATATATATACTTTTGTGGGTCTATGACCAATATTTCGATGTGTTACAAACGGAATGACAAAATCGATATATTGATGGTGGGTATAAAAATATAAAATTGAAAATTTTCAGAAGAATGTGTAAGCTATTTGCGATAGGATTGGACAGATAAAGACGTTATTAAGTTTAATAGGGTCCTATGATATTTGGCAAATACTTAATGTTATTTGCAAAAGTTTAGATGTTAAACAAATCTTATACACAAGTCTAGTAAGTAAATAAGTAAAAAGTACTAAAAATTAAACGGGAGTACTATGGTATTTTGGGATATCAAAAAGTACTAAAAAAGTACTATAGTATTGAATTTTCCATGCCTGGTAGACAGCATTTTTTCCATACAAACTCTGAGAGATAGTGAGTTTTAACTATCATTATCATCTTTATATGTATGTGCATTCATATTTATGTATGTAAAAATGAATGTGTGTTTATGTTAGGGACGAAATGGGCGGAATGGGTATACTGGGCGTGGAACTTCCCATATAATGATAATATTAAATGAGTAGCGATAACGGTTGTTTAGGTTGTGGCGGTTCTGTGTCTCACTCTCACTGGTGCAATGACTTTTCTAATTTATACATTATTTGCATTAACTTCTTGTTGAAAATAATCTATTACCTGAGTAGGACTAGATTTTTGTGTGATAAGAATTCAAATTGTAGTAATAATAAAAATCGAAAATGGAGCCCTCAAAACCTACAAGGGCGGCGATATGGGGGCTCAAAGTGTTATTTCTCGACATGTAACATTTTTAATCGAGTGCCATTTTTCTGTTTCCCATCCGATTCCACTTTAAAGGTGGGCGTTAAACTTTTTACTGATAGCAAAGTTCGGTATTAAAATGGGATAAAAATTCTTGAATGACTATACTGTACTCGTTCTAGTTTGGCATTGAGACCAATGATTTTTTTATTACGCGTAGCAAAGGAATATTTTTCATTGCCCTATTTATGTTGAATCGGTGAGTTGTTTTGAAAAACAGCAAGTTAAAATTATGGAATACTATTTTCATTACCATTACAAATATATTCGATTCAATCAAGCGAACCATATAAATAAGTTGAAAATCATGTTTAAATTTTGTTAACATAAAGAAAACTAAATTACTTATTAAAGCCAAAAAATGAAAGTATGTATTTGTTTTCTGCTTAATGAAATATCTATTAAAAAGTCTCAACTAATGCAAAAACATTTACGTACATACATATAGTTAAAAACGCAATTTTTCTGAACATATTTAATTTTTATTACATTAATTTAATTTGAGAAAAATTTCTCCCCATAACTTTTTTTTAACAAAAATTAAAAAACAATGTTTTTTCTTGATTTCATTTTTATTAAGGTCGTGGTAAAATGAAGAAAATGATGAGTATGATGATGATGGGTATGGCTATGAAAATGATGGGTATGCTGCCAATTGCCATGGGAATGTTGTATATGTTGGCTGGTAAGGCCTTAATCATCTCAAAGATTGCCTTGTTACTGGCGGGTATTATGGGTTTGAAGAAACTACTCTCGAGTAAGTCATCGGGCGGCAGTTCCGGTTGGTCTTCAGGTGGAGGCGGTGGTGGTGGCGGTTGGTCTTCTGGTGGCGGCGGTGGTGGTTGGGATAGAAGATCACTGAATCAGGCCCATGATTTAGCTTATCGTAGTTATACAAAACAATTACAACAGCAACAACTGAAGCTACAACAACAGCAGCCACAGCAACAACAACTACAACAACAACAAAAGTCATCAACAGAACAAAAATTATAAAAATTAGAAGATTATTTTAAAATTGTTAAATTATCTTATAGATAATTTTCGCATATTTTCTTTGTCTTCTTTCAAATGACATTTTGTAATTAAAAATTTTTAAAAACTTCTTTCAGCTTTATCTCTAGCACTTAACTTTAATAAAGTAATCATTACTATTTTGTATAGAATAACTTATCTTAAACGTAACTAAAGTTTTCAACAGAATTTCAATTTATAATATTCCGTTTTAATAATTGTTTTTTATGTAGATTCCCCTTGGCTCTGCTTTTTACAATTTATACAAATTTACCGTACTTTAATAACATTTATTATCCATCTCATTTAGCATTTCAATAAAATTTCTACTGTTATTTGTATCTGGCATATTCTGCGTAAATTCTATTATAAACTTTAATTAAACTTTAACGTTTCTCTTCTCATCTTCATTACATTTGATTTTCTCTAGATCAACTTTGAACTTATTTCGTTGCATTTCATGTTGTTTGGAATTGCGCTGACATACACTGAACTAATATTAGAAGTATTTGTATGGATGTGTTTTTATTTTTCTGCAATTTCAAATACAGTTTGTTGCATGTTGCATAATTCTTGTAAATTGTAAACGTGCTTCCATTATCATTTTCATACATTCATGCTAAGCTGTACAAACGGACGGACTGGCGGAGTGATTACAAGTATCATTTCTTATTCCCCATACATCCATTATTTTTTTTATATTTTCACTTTAAAAACTGTAGTTTTTCTTCAGAAGACCGCTTATTTCCGCATCCATTGTGTACTTTTGTTCCGTTAGTATATTTAAGTTCTTTTTCTATTTATTATTATTATTTCATTTTATTTTATTTTAATTTATTGTATTTTAATTTATAAGCTTCTTATTTAAAACATGTTTTTATTTTATTCTTTAATTTATTTATTTATTTTACTTCTTTGTAATATGGTAAATATTATTTATTTAAATTTATATTATTTATATGTGTGTAATATTTAATGTGTTTTATTTATTTTTGAGCAAAAAGAATAAAAATTCTGCATTTATATAAAAAATGATGAAAATGTATTGTGTTTTATTTCATAGTAGCTATACCCAGTGTGCTTCGCTACCCTAGAAACAATAGAAATAAAAAACCCTTTACGATTTGCTAAAAAACGATTCTAGTAGAACCGCTTCTAAAGGAACCTGTTGCCGAATTGATAAAGTGGGAACCTGTGTTTGTTTAATTTATATGGAAGATGCAACGCACGCTATTGATAGTTTACCCAATTTTTCCAAATGTTCATATGCATTCAATGTTGCACTTGCAACATTTCTTATATTTAATTCATATGTGAGGTACCATTCACTTACAAAACGTACAACATTTCAAAATCCTAGTTAATATATTTTTCCAGATGTAATAATTTAATTTATATAGATAATGACCATGTCATTATCAAAGTGACTCCGACATAATTTGAGCACCCCAAATTTTATAGTTTCCCAGATATAAGAATTATGTTACTGACTATATATGGGGGTTTTCCAAATTTACGTCATTTGATATAGGCTAGCATTAGGCGTGGGATGTGCCACACCCACTATTGCTAGTTCGCCCATTTTTCCCCAGATTTCATATATGTGTCAAAGTTGTTCGTGCAAAATTTGAGAACTCTAGACATACCAGTCTCCGATATATACTACTTTAAATAGTAAGTGGACGTGGCACCTCGCGCACTTGGAATTGCAAAATAGAAGGCAGCGTATTTTTTCTTCCAGGCACACAGGAACATACTGTGACAATTTTAAGAAAATCGGTTTAGCTATTTAGGCGGTTATAGACTACAATAGATAGATAGATAGATAGATAGATAGATAGATAGATAGATAGATAGATAGATAGATATAGATAGATAGATAGATAGATAGATAGATAGATAGATAGATAGATAGATAGATAGATAGATAGATAGATAGATAGATAGATAGATAGATAGATAGATAGATAGATAGATAGATAGATAGATAGATAGATAGATAGATAGATAGATAGATAGATAGATAGATAGATAGATAGATAGATAGATAGATAGATAGATAGATAGATAGATAGATAGATAGATAGATAGATAGATAGATAGATAGATAGATAGATAGATAGATAGATAGATAGATAGATAGATAGATAGATAGATAGATAGATAGATAGATAGATAGATAGATAGATAGATAGATAGATAGATAGATAGATAGATAGATAGATAGATAGATAGATAGATAGATAGATAGATAGATAGATAGATAGATAGATGATAGATAGATAGATATAGATAGATAGATAGATAGATAGATAGATAGATAGATAGATAGATAGATAGATAGATAGATAGATAGATAGATAGATAGATAGATAGATAGAGAGATAGATAGATAGATAGATAGATAGATAGATAGATAGATAGATAGATAGAAGATAGATAGATAGATAGATAGATAGATAGATAGATAGATAGATAGATAGATAGATAGATAGATAGATAGATAGATAGATAGATAGATAGATAGATAGATAGATAGATAGATAGATAGATAGATAGATAGATAGATAGATAGATAGATAGATAGATAGATAGATAGATAGATAGATAGATAGAGATAGATAGATAGATAGATAGATAGATAGATAGATAGATAGATAGATAGATAGATAGATAGATAGATAGATCGATAGATAGATAGATAGATAGATAGATAGATAGATAGATAGATATAGATAGATAGATAGATAGATAGATAGATAGATAGATAGATAGATAGATAGATAGATAGATAGATAGATAGATAGATAGATAGATAGATAAAGATAGATAGATAGATAGATAGATAGATAGATAGATAGATAGAAGATAGATAGATAGATAGATAGATAGATAGATAGATAGATAGATAGATAGATCAGATAGATAGATAGATAGATAGATAGATAGATAGATAGATAGATAGATAGATAGATAGATAGATAGATAGATAGATAGATAGATAGATAGATAGATAGATAGAAGCTAGATAGATAAATTACTCGGGCCAACGATTGAAAATGTTATTTGATGTGATAATTCCGAATATGGAAATAAAATTATTATCTCCTACCAGATTTCCACATTTTGATCTTTTAGTCCTTATTACTGTGCAGCTTGTGCCGCAAATATTAAATTCTGCCAATTTTACATAAGTTGCGAACTTGCCGTCTCTATCTCTAGACTAATTAAACTAAGACATAGGCTCTAATTAGAGACTAAAACTATTAAAATTGGATAAATAGTTTAGAAAATATACCTTGTCAAATTAAATGCATGTTGAAAAAAATATTAAAAAAAGTGAAGTTTGAACCTCGATAAGATCTTATTTGTAACGAGTTTAGAAGTTTTGGAGAACTTTGAACTCTGTATTTATACAAAGATTTGTGTAACGAAATTTATCAAAATCGGAGAGTGTATGGTAAGATTCCTTTCGAAAATTGTTTAATGTAAATTTACAGTTATATAGATTTTTCTATTGAAAATGACAAAATAAAAAAACATTTAAATTTTTCATCCCGCAATTGCCAAAAAAGTTTTGAAAAATTCAAAAATGGGATTTTTATAGTTTTTTTTGGCTATAGTATCCATACCAGGGTCGGTTGTTATCGTAACCCTTTACGAAATTATTAAGAACATATTGTGATGGGTTACTATATTTTGATACCGACTTTGCGAATTGAGAATTTTTGTTGGGTAAAAAAAATTGAAAATTTAATTTTCAAATGCAAATATTTCCTAAGCTAAGAGATAATTTATAGCTAGGTTTTTTATAGTACCCATCGAGCAGATTTCATGTATAATATTTTTTTAAAGTAATGCTTTTTCTGACAACGTTACAAAAGAAATATGTAAGTTAACACGATTGTTCCGATTTGACTACATGGTTGTCACAGCTTTAAGATTATTTAAGCCAAATGTAAATTTATGCGCACAAAAACACATTTAGTGACTTTTTGACCTAAGCACACTAACTTATGAGGTTTGCTCACAGCAGTCTTATCGTGTGAATCCCCTAAATGTCAACCATAAAACACACTTCGTTTAACTTCAATTTAAAGATCATAGTGCTTAAAAAAATACCTTTAAAAAATACTATTTTGATTGTTATTCAAATTTTTAGAGAAAGTTTTAATGTTGTATACCTTAAGATATGCTAAACTATTTTCTTTAAACACTCATCAACAATATTCACTGGAGTGGGTGAATTTCGTTTAATTTAAAACAACAGCTTTAAAGTATTCTTTACTTTGTTTGTGAACTAAAACTCCAACATATCTGCCTTAGTTACTGCAATGAAATACCAAACCTTTGTAATGAAACACAACGTTATAAAGAGAATTTTTAAAATCGTTAGTTTTCACAATCGAATCGTGATGTTGGTTATAGCTGTAAATGTCGTGCGATTGTATTATTTTACATACTACAGTGGAATATAAATTATGAAGTGTTTTATGATTTTTGTTTTAAACAGGCACATATTTTTGAAAATTATTTGAACTCTTGCCCAGCAAAAACTCGGTAATGGGTTGTACAGAACCACTTACTTTTCAATGGTAACTACTTACTGTCTGCATTACTTAGATGTACTCTAGTAATGACTTTCTTTTAATCTGATATAGAACTCTTGCCCAGCAAAAACTTGGTAATGGGTTGTACGTATAGAACCACTTACGTTTCAATGATTACTACTTACTGTCTGCATTACTTAGAAATACTCTTGTAATGACATTCTTTTAATCTGATATAGAAGTACTTTATTTTCGGCTTTGTCATTCTGTTTGTAAATTTTTTTTATTGCGACTTAAGAATTGTGTTTTACAAAAAAGAAATCAAAATTAAATTTGTATGTGAAAACCATTATTTGACGCGCAATAACATAGCTAAACGGTGGTGCAAAAAAACAACTTACTCAACAACTTCTTTGTAAGCGAAAGTAGAAGTATACGAGTGTAGAAGTATGTACTTGCCTTCAATCACCGTGTTAAAATAATGAGTCAAAATGGCAATGAAGACGTAGTGAAAAGAGGATTTATTAGCATTTTAACTCATTACTTTTCAATGTAAGTTTTTCCTGGGTGTTTATAGAAATTCTGAAAGATCGAAATCTATCTATTAACTACGGTTGCTACGTGAGATGCTCTAAACTGTTAGATAGCATTTGATTATGGATTAGAAATACTACTTAGATTTCACTGGATTTTAACTTGTCAACATTACTACTCTTTTAACTCGATCTACATATATACGAATAATAACATTGATAACATACGCGGTCTGGAGAATGGTTGTCTGGGAGACGAATTCCAACATTTATACCAGGTTATCAAAACCTTGACCAAGTGAGCATCATCTACATGAGGTAAAGAATCACCTTCTAGATATGGAGAAACATAATGCTTATTTAATGCAACTTCTTGATCATAAGTAGCACCAAAAGTGTGCAGAAATTTAGAAACCTGGATTGACTGACATTAGGTGATATTCTAGTTTAGGATTCTCATGGTATATTTTGAAAAAAAAAAATTAAAACTTCGATCAACACTACTTTCATTGACCAACGGATTTACCCATATCCTTCATGCTAAAAAATTATTTTTAGGTTCCCTAGTACGAACCCGGAAAAAAAAGAATTTACCAAAGAAAGTATTAAAAATACCTGAAGAAGAGATGAATCAAAATCAAAAAAGAACTTCAAAAATCGAAGAAGAAGTAGAATTTACTCAATGGAAGTATTGAAAAATACCTCAGGAAGTGATGATTTTGATGAGTCAAAATCAAATTAAACCTAATGAAAGCATCAGTAAATTTTACACGTTGTTCCTATAGAATTTCTAAAAAATATGTCAAAATGCAACTGCATTAAACTGACACAGAAAAGACAAATAGAAAATTTATTTTATTAGTAAGCAAATAAATTATATTTTCAACTACGTGCACACGCATATAACTGGATTAGTAATTGATTATAACTTATGATATATGTACATTAGAGTGTCCCGTGAACACTTTTCTGTAGGTATACTAATCAAACGATGCATATTAATGTACTTAATACGAGAAAAATAAAAACAATTTTTGAAAAGGTCCTTCAGTTACCAGCGCACTGTGGATAATTTTTTGAAATCCCTAGATTCTTGAAAAGAATGTTCCTCGGGACACTCTAATATACATATATACTACAATCAGAAAATGAATATGAAAATACATATATTGTAATTAGGGTGGTACCAAAAACTATCGCCATAAAATTAAATGAGCTTATTTAAAAGTTTAATTCTTAGAATGATGTAGTTTAAAAATTCATTAAACTCGATAGTCAAATAATCTTCAAAATTTTTGGAATCTGCTAATGGTTAAAATTTTTTTCTCCAGCGAAAATCGGACCATTCTACTGTATTATCTTCATTCTTATAAACATTTTTACAAATATATGTATGTATATATGTATGTAGAAGTATGTACATGAAAACATTAGAATCTATTATTTCATGAACTTTTATGCTGTGTGTGTCATGATGTTGCACTTCTTTCTTTCGCTGCTAGAAACTTTTGTGTTACGAGTTCGACTAGCATTAATACATACATATTAGTGCTCATTCCGTGCATCAATGCTACTAAAATTAAAGCCACAATAGCAGCTCTTGACTGACACACGAATGGCACACGTTAAAATCATGCCATTAGATCAGTTTAAATTTGGTGCAACAAACAATTCTAGCAGCAAGATTTAAATATTCCTACATACGTTCATACATACATACATACAAACATACTTATTTATATATGTAAATGGAATAAAGTTATAATCATGCAGCACGAATCTTTATACGTGAAATTTAAATTACTTACTTATGTATATTCGTTCTACTGTTTGGAAAAATCAGTTTGATCAAAATTATGAAAGATAAGTTTGGTTATTGCATTTTCAATTGAAAAGTTCATGCTTTTCACAGGCAGTTAAAACTAATATGAGTTTCTTGTTTTAATCACAAAACGGCTATAAACTGCTATAAATACATCAAAAGGATGTTACTTTGTAATATAAATCGATATTTTGTATGAAAACGCTATTTGAATGAAAATGTTATTTGTATGAAAACGTTATGTTCTCATGAAATATTCATTTCCATCGAAGGGAATTTTTCTATCGTAAAATTCATTTGAAGTTTTCGTTCACTATGATTAATTTTGTACGTAACAGCTGTTAACAAAATTCCGTCAAAGGAAATCTTTTCACGTTTTCTTATTTGAATGAAAAATAGGAAGTGGGAAATATACTTTATGTGAAATTTTGATTGGCGATGAGGGTGATTATTTATAACAATGACGAAAATAAATAAAAGTTAACTATGGCAATATGTTGATGATGATCACGGTGATCGCTATTATGTATATAGCTTCTACAACAAGGATAAACCCCAAAAACGGGTAATGGCTTCCGCTTAATGATAATGACTACTACTTACTGTCTGCATTACTTTTAAGTACTTTTATAATGACTTACATATAATCAGATACGTAAATACTTTATTTTACATTTTTAGTTGCACATTTTATTGAATAGCATCTTTGAATATAGCATCTTTTTTTACACACACAGAATGAAAATAGCTGTTCTCCCAGCAAAAACTCGGTAATGGGTTGTACTTCCATAACCACTTGCTTTTCAATGACTACTACTTACCATCTGCATCACTTAGAAGTACTCTAGTAATGACTGTCTTATAATCTGATATAGAAGTACTTTAATTGCATTTTAAGAATTGTGTTTTACAAAAAATAAAACAAAATTAGTTTTGTATGTGAAAACCATTATTTGACGAGCAATAAAATAGCTAAGCAGTGGTGCAGTGTGACTAACAAACCGAAGTCCCTGGTTCGTATTCTAGCCGGCTCTTTTTATTATTAAAAAACAAAACAACTTACTCAACAACTCTTTTGTAAGAGAAATTTCAAGTACTTCTTTAACTCCCTATTTGTAAGCGTGCGTAGAAGTACTTGCCTCCAATGACATCACCGTGTTAAAATAATGACTTAAAATGCTAATGAAGAAGTAGTGAAAAGAGGTTTTAATAGCTTTTTAACTCATTACTTTTTAGTGTAAGTTTTTCCTGGGTATGACAAACCATTATTGAACGCACAATAAAATAACTAAGCCGTGGTGTTGTGAGTAAGACAGCGAACTAACGAACAAGAAGCCCAGATTCGAGTGGAAAATTTGTTTGTTTTTCACTCCTTATTTGTAAGTAATTATATAAGTAGTTATTTGCAAGCGAGCGCGGTAAGTACTTACCTGCATGATAAGTACTTATTAAACTCTCTATTTGTATGCGAGCATGGTAAGTACTTGCCTTCAATGTCATTATCATGTAAGTAAATTTTAGCATCTTAATACATTACTTGGTAATGAAAGTTATTGTTGGGTTGTATTTTAAAATTATAGTTCGTACCGAATTACCGACTACTCCACGTTTGAGCGACTGAGTTAAGATTAACTTGAAAGAGTATTTATTTGGCAAAGAGCAACTCCCACTTATGATCCTTTGCAATTCAGACAAAATTATATGTAAACTACTTTTCCCAGCATATTTATTTAGTTTTCCAACTAAAGCAAGTTAATTTTACTTAAAAACAGTTATTTAACATCAAGTATTTATTTTGTTAGTTTCATGAAAGTATACAACTTGTAACACAAAATATCTAAAATGATAAAGTTGTTTTACGAATACCTTGCGGCTAAATTGTACTAAAGCTATGTAAGTAATATGTTGTTCAAACGAACAAACATATTAACATAAACACCAAAGGATAAATTGCAAAAATTTACACGCGTAAATAAATTAGAAAATATATGTAAACATAAAATTTCGCTTAAATTTTAAACAACAATTTTAATTGTATGGTTATGATGATGATGATGTTATGATGATTGGTGGAAGACCTATAGCCCAGGAAAATAGGGGTTTTGTTTCTCTTTATATTTATTTATAAAACGGCAAAAGTCAGCATAAATATCGTGTGATCTAAGCGAGATATTGGCGGTCAAAGGTCACAAAAACCTGTTTTTACGAATATTTCACTTATTGTGTGTTGTACGCGTTTTGATGCCATTATAATTTCTATAGAGAATAAAATTTTTTGGCATATCATTAGTCTTTTTCAGCCTATAGTGCATTCATGGGTTCGAGTAGTGGAAATTTATATAGAGTTTCATAAGTTATACGGACGACGTCAGATATTTAGCAAAATTCAATGAAACTTAGAATATTGAGGCGAGAATTGGGACTCCTTAAACAAACAATAGAAAACAAAGTCAACCATATTATTTATCCAAATAGCAGAATCATATTCAGAGGTCTTATGAGTTATTTACCTTAAGTCAACTGATTTTCGAATTGAATAGATGATCTCTCATTTGTATAAGTAGATATTCGTTATCGTATGGTATTATAAAGTCTAACAGGACTTAAATATATATTTATTTTATTTACAACACTTATATTTAGTTGTATTTTTTTTTCTACTTCTCTGAACTTAACCACAAAAAATTAACAAATGTAATGTTAGATAAAATTTCCCTGGAAATACTAATTACGAAAGTTGTTATGAGTAGTAAAACAGCCATTGCTGAAGGGTTTTGGAATAATTTCCACATTTATATACTATGGCAACGAAATCTTATATCAGTTTTCATCTCAACTTCACCTCACTCAAGGTGTGGCAAGCAAGCATCTAGTCTTTTGTACAAAATAGTCAAAGTTTTGGTTAAACAAAATAAATAAATAAATTTAGTAACTTGGTCAGTTGTTATTATACAATAAATATATAAACTACTCTCGTGGTATAAAGAATAATACTTCAATGTTAGTGTAATTAAAAATAAAACTCAATAAAATTATAATTAAATAATTTTATTTTTCTTGAAACCAATCTATTTGTCTGTCAAAGTAATAACAAGAAATAAAAAAAGAAAGCAATTTTATGGTTGTTTATTTTCGAAAGTGAACTTAATAATAGATGAATTTTATTTCACAGAAAATAAAATTGATATTGAAAAAAAACTTGTATTGTTAGAAAAAAAAATCGAAAAAATAAAATGTAGGCACGTGATATTTTTGTTTAACAACATTAAAATGACATAATTTAAGATTAATTACTTACATAATATTGATAATAATAGAAATAAATATTTAATTGTTGCTTGTCAATAAAAACGAATAAATGAAAGTGAAACTAATAATTTAATAATATAAAATGTTTGACGGTTGTACTCTTTTGACTTTTTAAACTCTTTTTGTAAAGGTCATGTCGAAATGGCAAAAGAAAGTACCTAAATCAATCGATTTAAAAAAATAAACATCATTTTCCTAAATTTATTAAAATCTCGACATTAATTTAAATAAAAAACAAGTAAGAGTGTTATATTCGTCCATGTCGAATCTTATATACCCACCATCAAATCATTGCCAAAAAATTATGCTTCCTTATAAATAAACTTAGATATTAGATCTATGTTGAAAGAGCTATGTTGAATTTTATCATCATATATCGATTTTAATATGAACATCAGGCTAATATTTGGAAGAGGGCTTCCTATATTAATATGAACAACAGGGTAATATATGGAATAGGGCTTTTAATGAGGGCTTAAGTATGGACCATGCTTTTCCGAATTACAAAATATTATTTTTTTTGGTCCAATTTTTATAACCATAAACTGTGTTTTGTGAAAGGGTTATCAGTTATCGATCGAACCCGATGAGCGTTAATTTTTGACCGATCTTCATAAAGAAGTTGTTTATTTCGAATTTCATCACCTTAATTGTATTTTTAAGTATCTAATGAGAGTTAAAGTAATTTTCTGTAGTGGTAATTTATCGATCCATCTTCAAAGTCAGTAGGAAGATTTCAGTTCCCATAAAACTAGTTTATATTGAATTTCATATATCTACTCGTATTTTTATGCCAGTAATGAGCATTAAAGTTATTTTCTGAAGGGCCCCTTATACGTGGGGTGGGGTCAATTTTGGACCGATCCTCCTAAAATTTTGTAGAATGATTTCTGTTCATACAAATATTGTTTATGTCGCATTTTTGTAATGAGTAATGAACGTTAAAGTCATTTTCTAAAGGAGACCTTATATGGTTGGTATGATCAAATATAAACCGATACTCATAAAATTCTAAAGGGGCATTTTTGCTCATACAAGACTTGTTTATGTGAAATTTCTTCGCTGTAGTCGTATATTTAAGCCAGTAATGAACGTTACAGTAATTTTCTGAAGGGACCGATTCCCATAAAATTTGATAAAGAGTTTTTGGCTCGCACAAAACTTGTTTATGTAGAATTTAACTGCTGTAATCGCATTTTTGAGTCAGTAATGGGCGTTAAAGACATTTTCTAAAAGGGACCTTATATGGACCCATCTCCATAAAATTTAAGAATATGATTTTATTTCCTATATAACTTGTTTATGTTGAATTTCATTGCATCTTAAGGCCAGTTATGAGCATTAAAGTCATTTTCTAAAGGGGACCTTATATGGAGGGTAGGTTCAATTATGAACCGATCCTTATAAAATTTGACGAAGAGATTTATGTTCCTATAAAATATGTTCCTGTCGAATTTCACCGCTATAGATGCTTCTTTTAAACAGTTATGAGCGTTGAAGTGATTTTCTGAAGGGGGCTTTATATGGAGGGTAGGTCAATTATAGGCCTATCCTTATAAAATTATACAAAGAGATTTAAGTTCCGATAAAACATGTTTGTGCCAAATTTCACCGCTATAGATGCTTCTTTTAGCCAGTTATGAGCGATAACGTAATTTTCTGAAGGGAGCCTTATATAGGGAATAGGCGAAATCGTGGACCGATATTGCCCATTTCCAACAGACAGGACCCAGAATAAATATACATATCTAAGACGAATATTTCGATGTGTTACAAACGGAATGACAAAAACAATATATCTTATATATCTTTTTTAATGGTGGGTATAAAAACTTGAGTTAAAGGATTGAATGATTGCTATGGACATAGGGTCATGCGAATAGAATCGACTTCAATTCCCGCAAGACTCAGTGATGTACTTTAGTATATTAAAAACACGACAGAGTATTTTTTTAATGAAGTAAGAAAAATTTCACTCAATTCGATTTTACTTTTTAGACTATTTATGTCCGACGATCTATTGAATAAAACAATCATGTATGGGCAGCTCTTTTCAAGTATGTTTTGGGTCTAGTCAACCTTATGGAGAAGAGGGCGAAGGTACTTATCGTTAACAGTAGAGTATCCAGCTCTATTGATTTTCACAGTCACAATATGGGATGTATTTCACTGTTCTATCGATATTAAAATAGAATGTGGTAGATTTACCAAATGGAAAAGTATGTCCTCGTGGCCACTGCACAAATTCGCCTCTTTCATGAGTTTTTTTATACAAAAAAGTCACACACATTGAAAGTTCTGGACCAAAATATCTAACTTATTTCCAGACGAACTACTCAATTAGAAATAGAAAATGTTCAAGAAGGCGACTGAATCTCAAAAAATATCAAACCATAATGGTGACATTATAAATCTATTAAAAATCTAGTTAGTAGGCTTAGTTGCATTACCTTTCTTTTTTTTAAATATTAATTAATGAAAACTAAACGTAATAAGTTTTATTTTAATAACAAATAGAAATGTCTATTTAAATTTTAAACAACACATTTAACATGAACCACGCCTTTCTAATATAAATTTAATTAAACGAAATCTCATTATTTTGTCAATAAAAAAAACTAAACCATTAGGCTTTAAAGTTGAACTAACAATAAAAGTAGATCATCTTTTATTTTATTGCCAATATGAGGATGATCTTTTGAAGCGCATGAGTAAATGACTTGAAATATAAAATTATCACCAAACAAAAGAAGAAAAAAAAAACTAAATAAATGAATGAAATAACCAATGAGTTTAAAAATAAAGCAAAAATCTAAAAAAATATATAAGTTGAAAAGAAAACTATTTTTTATTTGGTATAGAAACTTAGAAAAAAAGTATAGAGAGCAATAAAAGAGCAAAATGTGAGAGAATGAAAGATCTAAAAATAATATTGTGTAAAAGACTCTACTAAGTACTCTTACAAAGTATAGAAGGTGGGAAATTGTATGGATATTTAAAAGCGTGCTAAAATGAAGGGGAATTCGACAACAAACTCGCTGTAAACTATTTTATATGTTAATGGATGAACGATCACATAAACGACATGATAAAATTTTAAAGAATTACACTGACAGAATTTCTTTGATTGGTTGTTATATTTATTGCATCTACACATGTTTGTCTGTCTTTCTGTCCGACTGTCTGTCGAAATCACAATAGGAACCACACAGGAGGAGCTAGAGGGCTGAAATTTATTGTAAAGGTTTGTATTGGTATTGAACATTAGCAACATGGGTCCACGATATAACCTATACCTAACGTCACCAGATGGTTTTTGAATAAAAGTGGGATCCGAGTGATTAAAAAGCGGGATTTTGAAGAAAATATTTTAAAAAAGCGGGATTTTGAAAATTGTCATTCAATAAATCGGGATTTAATAAAACTTAACATCATAACAAGTAAAAGTGTTGTATTCGACTACGACGAAACTTATATACCCACCATCAACACCTTGTCATACATACATGTATCGATATTAATATAAGCATCTGCGTGATTTTCCATCTCTTTTATGAAGGAAAAAATGTAAAATTCAGAGTTTTAGTTATTTTTATAAAAAAAAAATTATTGGTGTTACTCACAACACTCTAACAATGGTTAGAGTGTAGTTTTCACTTGTCACTAAAAACAATATGATTATTATTTAAAAGTGAATGTCTATAATTACTGTTATGTAACAAAAAGCGGGATTTTTTGTTAAAAAGCGGAATTGAAATCTAAGTCGGGATCAACCTTTAAAAAGCGGGATAATCCCGATTTTGGCGGAATGTTTGGTCACGTTACCTATACCCCTTATAAGGTCATCTTTAGAAAACTACTCATAATTGGCTTAAAAATGTAAGTATAATGATAAAATACGTCCAAAATTAGGTTATAAAAATCAAAATCTCCCTACTAAATTTCGGAATATAATTACCTTTATCATTATACAAGGATCCTATAACATCTATTGCAGGAAATAAGTATGTCAATAAATCAAAATGATTGATTAAAAAAATCAAAAAGAAATTACTTTTTCGAAGATATTCACTATTTCCAATTCTGTAAAGCCCGGTTCATAATTGACTAAAGTCCCCATGAAACTTCTCAGACCTTAGCTTATATATTAGACCAACTTAAATTTACTACATACTTTTTGATGACGCCTAAATAGCCGAATATAACATTCTTACATGTTATACTTAATATACATTTTGTTGTTTTTGCTCAAATTATTCAGATCAATATTGAAATAGTATTTTTATTCCCAAAAAAAAAACATAGTTTTCCAGCTATATTATAAAAAATATTGACCTAATTATTAACTGTTTCATTCCATAACCTATTGTCCATAAATGCTGATGGGATATGCAAAAACTTTTTAAAATTTTAGCAAAAACTTTTAAAATCAATTTTCCCTTTGTAAATGCACCTCAAAGTCATTGTAGCATCTGTTATCATTATCCTATTAGCATAATTTTGATATGACTTAGTTTTACAACCCAAATATGGCATATTTTGCACTTAGGCACTACCATTATGGAAATGCGACTATTTGTCAAAAATTTCTTTCAGTGTATATGTTTCTTAACTGATTTAGATTATAATAGACGATTATAAAAAGAACTAAAATTTGGTAAAAGTTAGTTTGTTGTCATTTCTTCATTTAGAAAAAAATGACCACAAAAAATATTTTAGTTCTGCACCCTACAGTACGGTAGCGGCATTATACGTATGTATATCAAAAAGCAATCATTTATCGTTTCTAGTCTCTTATCTCTAGTAGATCCATAACAAAGGCCTGTTAGCTGTTCCGACATCTTGGATCACTACACCGCTTACTCATTATGACTTTGAGATGAATTTAAAAAATTAATTTTAACTGTAGAGAATCATTCTTTGTTCCTATTTTGTTTCAAAGTTTTCACTCTAAAGACGTAAAAGTTTTCGTGGATATTATAAAATCTAGTTTTCGATTCGAAGCTTCGTCACTAAAATTACAACTTCCAAAAACGTACACAGAGTGAAAAGGAAATATACACGCCTGGTACCAAATTTACACCAAAGAGTTTATAATTTTTCAATAACATCCGTTGTCAAAGTATATATATACGTACGACCACACTGCAATAATTCGTTGTCGAAATCTAATGTTGTCTAATCTAATGTTAACAAACATGGTAAGCTCACTATTGGCAACGGATTATGTGTCATTTAGACAACGGATGTGTATAACATTTAGATTTCGACAACGAATTGTTGCAATGTTGTCAACATTACATAGTGTTGTCGTACGTATGTATACAAAGATTGGTATTGAAAAATTATAAACAGTTTGGTGTCAATTTGGTACCAGGCGTGTATATTTCTTTTTCCCTCTGTGTAGTTACGATCGTAAAGCAGAATACACGAAATCGTGACATAAAATGGAATTGCTTCTTCTTTTTCTTACGATTCCGATTTTTTTTGTTGGAATACATATTTCCGATCTTAGCGTAACTGTATTCGGAAACGTATTTGAAATGTAGAATAGCGATGATTATAGGTATGTTATTTTATTCCAAAAATTAAAAATCTTACATACAAATTTAACAAAAATGTGTTAAATTCTAATCTTTCTATAATATATCGAAAGTGAGGTTAAGTTATTTTAAATTCGTTCTTGACCAAAAACCTTTAAATCTTGCACTTGTTTAAATTTTGTATATTTCAGTTAAAGTTTTTTTTTAACTATATTTACAGGTAAATAACCATAAAAATCAGTGAACTACAACAAAGGTAATAATACTTTAAAATAGTAACGACTAAAATAAGAAAAAATGTTTCTATCAAATACAGAGAGATGGTGGATGATTGTGTTGAAAATATAAAAATACGTTTAAATTTTTATAAAATACTTGACCCAAGAGTGAAAATGACTATTTGCGTGTAAACCATAAACGGATGATGATCACCTCGAAGTGGATTAAACGAAAAAGTGAAAAAATTCTAAAGAAAGAAAAGTGACAAAAAGGCAAAGTCTTAAAAAGCTAAATTTAAATTCCGTTTAATATAAATTATACAATTCAATTCAAAACAAAAAGAAATGTTAGACAAACTAATTGTTTTTTGTTCATTTGTTATTATATTAAATTCCGCGATTAAATTATGTACCGCAGCAGACTTAAGCAAAAATGCCACAAGTGTTACACGCACAAGAGTAAGAAATACGCGAGTGAACGCAATGACTGAAGCTGATGAGGATACGTGGCAACCAATAATACCAACACATTCAGTGTCAACGACACCAACTCATGCCTCAGATTTGTGGCATAGTACAGATTTAAGAAATAACTTGGCAAATAGTTTAAAACAAAAACATCAAGGATATATTAATCCACAAACATATCACAACTCTGCATACAATCATCATTATCATCAGCACCAGCATCATCATAACGGAAATTATAGTAAACGACATATAAAAACATCATCTTTATCTTCTGTCACATCACCATTATTATCTGTATTGCCATCATCCTCTGCTTCATCACAGAAAAACATCAAATTGAGGTCTCATGTTTACTCCACAACAAATAATAAGAATAATATTAAAAACAGTAGAGGAAAAGGCAAAACTCAACCTAACTCTCATTATCAGCAGCAGCAGCAACAGCTTTATCCTTTGAATATTATTGAAACGGTATATCCTCAAATTCAAATACCAAACGATATTATAAGTCAAGTAGAGCAACGGCAGCAAAAACATCAAGCGAAAGTTGAGATGAACTTAATATCCTCAAAACTAAATGTAAATCATGTTGAGGATGTAGCAAAAGCCAATCATACAAAACCATCTTCAGCATCAACATCATCAGCATATTGGCATTATTTACAACAGCCCCAACTGGAGGCAAAACACATGATTAGTCTAACACCAAAAATTGACACTTCCAATGTTAATACTACGAGTACAAATTCAAATATGAAAATAAATGCGTTTAGAAATGAAAATGAAACTGGCAAGAAAAATGAAAAGAATTCAAACAGCACTAGTTTAACAAAAACATTAAATTCTATTGTAACTAATGAAAATTTGATCGATAATGAAATCATAAATACCAAACAGCACAATCAGCATTATCATCATTATGAGAATTTACTACACAGCGGTGGGGTTAAACCTGTCACATCAACATCTAACGCTGCTGATGAAAATCTCATAAAAGCCACTAAAATACATTCAGTTGACGCGGCTGCTAACACTGCTGGAGATGATGAAAAGAATTTCAATGGAAAATTGTTGCTATTAAGGAAAACTTTAAATAATGCTCAAGACTTTTATGATAATTTAAAGAACATAATCTTGAGTGATAAGATTAGTGATAGGAGTAGTAGTGATAATAATGACGATGATGCTGATGATGATGATGATTACGATATATATTCAAATGAGGGTAAGTTATGCGTGAAGAAAACAGAATAGATTATTTTCAGTGTAAATGTTATTTAACTTAAATTCATGGAAATTTAGATTCGTTGTTAAAATAAAATTTCATTTGCATAAACTCGAGTGGTTTTGGAACTTTTTAGTATGATAACATTTTCATCTCATAGTTTTACTTTGTTGATCAAAGAAACTGTGGTGTTAATCAGACTAAACAAGTGACTGAATACATAAATAAATTAGGATGAAGTGATTCAAATGAAGTCATTTTAAATTCACGTGTGTGCAGTAAAATGGAAAAAAATTAACTAGTTATTAGAATAGCAACGTGTTGAGAACTGAATATGTGGATTTTTTTATATGTTTCCAAAACGTTAAGAATTTTAATAATCTTAGTTTGTTAATGTCAAAAATGTTCATAATTTTCCCAAGAATTTTCGAAATTTCTATCATCAGTATTCTGATGAAACAGCTGGGGGTATATTGATTTTGTCATTCCGTTTGTAACGCATCGAAATATTGGTCACAGACCCACAAAAATATATACATTCTGGGTCCTTATTAAATTCTAAGACGATCTAGCTATGTCTGTCCGTCCATCTGTCTGTCTGTTGAAAGCACAATACAGACCGAACGGAAAGAGGTAGAGGGTTGAAATTTTGCACAAATATTCCTTACAGGCAATACCGGTCCACGTTTTCGGATAGCTCCCATACAAGTGGACCCAAAAAAAACAGCTTTAACTGGCATTACTGTTTTAAAAATACGACTATAGCGATGAAATCCGACATAAATAAGTTTCATATAAGCCAAAATCACTCTACCAAATTTTATGAGGATTGGTCCATAATTGGCCCTATAAGGCCCATATAAGGTCCCCTTCAGAAAATGTCTTTAACGCTCATCATTGGCTTCAAAATGCGAGTATAGCGATGAAATTCGACATAATTAAGTTTTGTGCGAGCCATAATCTCTCTACCGAATTTTATGTGGATCGATCCAAAATTGACCCTACCCCCATAAAAGGTCCCCTTCAGAAAATAACTTTAACGCTCATTACTGGTTCAAAAATGCGAGTACAGCGGTGACATTCGACATTAAGAAGTTTTGTGCGAGCCAAAAACTCTTTATCAAATTCTATGAGGATCGGTCCTTAATTAACCCTACCCCCCATATAATGTCCCCTTCAGAAAATGATTTTAAAGCTCATTACTGCAACAAAATAAATAGTACAGCGACGAAATCCGACATTAACAACTTTTATGGGAACTTAAATCTTTCTACCTATTTTAATGAAGATGGATCGAATCCTTTAACTCTCATAAGTTACTTAAAAATACGACTTAGGCGATGAAATTCGAAATATACAACTTATTTGCGAAACATAACTTCTGTACAAATGATTATGAAGATCGGTCTAATAATGTCCACTTCAGAAAATGACTTTAACGCTCAATAATGCCTCAAAAGTTCGTACAAATTACGGTAGTTTTATAGGAACTGAATTTTATGAGGATCCCCCATTATCGGTTTCCTTCAGAAAATTACTTTAAACCTCATAACTGAATTAAAGATACGAGAAATTATTCCACAATGCACTTTTATTATTTAAAGTTTAAGTCTAGAGACTAATGCCTCTAGAATTAATGAATTGAGAGTTTGAGTCACAAGTATACAGTCGCGGGGGAAATGTAGAAAAAAAATAAAGTAATTCATTAATCATAATGATTTTCTATATTTCCTTCCAACTTCGGTATGGTATGGAGTCCATAAAACTTTTCTTTGTATGAATTTCTTTGATTTCGTCTATAAAACTTACGGTGTGAAGTTCATGTGGGCAGATTCAATTATCAGTATGTATACACAGAGGGAAATAGAAATATACACGCCTGGTACCAAATTGACACCAAACTGATTAAATTTTTGTTAACGATTGACAAACACGTTTGTTAACATTTAGACAACGGATGTGTATAAAATTTAGATTTCGACAACGAATTGTTACAACGCAGCGTTGTCAACATTACATAGTGTTGTCGTAGGTATGTATATACTTTGACAATGGATGTTATTGAAAAATTGTAAACACTTTGGTGTCAATTTGGAACCAGGCGTCTATTTATTTATTTTTCTCTCTGATTAGTGGCTCAAACCCAGCAAAAAAATAACTTCCAAAGAAGCGAAAAATAAGTAAAATTTACTCTATGAAAGTACTGAAAAAGAACTGCAGAAGTGATGATTTTAAAACAGGCCTGTCATAGAAGGTATTCCCTTTTTTATTTAATTCTAAATTCACTCAATTCACTCTCAAGAAGTATCTTTTATGTTCTTTTTTTTGGAAGTGAAATTGTAGTTTTATATTTAGAATATAACTAATTTTTGGAAGTGAAATTGTAGTTTTATATTTAGAATATAACTAATTTGACTTAAATAATTTTAAAATTAATACGGGAAATAGACATGATTAATAAAAAAAAATTAAAAAAAATTAACTTTGTGCTTCTTTTGAAGTGGTGACAAATGTTATTCTTTTGGAAGTACTTCGTTTTATTTTTGTTGGGATGTTAGGAATTTCCATGCATTATTTATAATGAAAAAAAAAAACACAAGGTGAATGTAAAAAAAATCCAGTACTAACAGTTTCTAAATAATTTCATATATTTTTACATTTTTATTGTAATAAAATTGTCCTTCTTCCGTTTTAATTATTTCTTCTTTCATTTTCTTCATAATAATTTTTTTTTTCAATTAATTAACTTTACTTAATTAACTGTCACATTTCTTCTTATTTTATTCTTTTGTCTAATCATATAAATTTATTACACTTGTTTGTGCATCTAAGAAAATTCTTAATTAGAATAATGATCTGATTTAATAATCCAGACTAAATACGTTTAATCCTCTAGTATGTTTTGCTTAGATATAAAATAAAAGCACGCAATGAACTGAATACATATGTATATAATTTTTTAATTATTTTCCAAAAACAATGGCAACAAATCCTTAATAGACACGTGTAAGGAAATGTTACTATGAAATTTAAAAGTTTTTTTATATTTATATAACTGTATGGATTAAAATCCTTTTATTCAGTCTTTGGCATTCTTAATTAATCGCAAATACCCCAAAATCAAATTCTATTTGATTTTTTAATTGTATTTATCATCCACTTTATTATACGTTTTTATCTATCTCTTTTTATAATATTCAGATAAAACCAACTATGATAATGACCTACCAAACTCTTCACTGTACCAAGAGCTAACAGATTCATCAACAACAGTGGCAGCAGTTATAGCAGCAGCAATGGATTCATTTAATATTAAAAATATATTATTGCCTTCAGCATCAATTGATGAAGTTCAAGGTCATGGAAAGCAAATTGTTAATGATACAATGAAATACTCATCTCCAGAAGACTCAAATCAAATGCAAAATGTTGAATTCAAGACAACAGCAGCTAGCAATGATACACAAGCAACAGGTCGATTATGGAATTTATTGTCAACAAAAGCTCAGAAGACAACAACAACAACAACAGCACATTCATCATCATTGTCGCCATCAACATCAAAGGCCTTAACAGCGATTAGTTCCGGTCGTAAAGTGAAAAAAGTTAAAAAGAAATTTAAAAAATTCCTTTTACCCCTTGTGCTGGCCTACAAACTAAAGTTTATGGCCTTAATACCTTTACTAATTGGTGGTCTTACCTTGCTGGTTGGCACAACAGGTTTAGCTGGATTTTTCTTTGCTTTATTTACGGCCGTAATGAGCTTGAAATCCGGCAGTCGTAATGCAATTGTGGTAAAGAAGTATTGAAATTTTTCTTAAGAAATTAAAATTAAAATTCATGTAAGATTTTCTTAGGAGAAGGTTATAGAAGGAAAAAAGGTTTTGTGCATTATTTTCTCAAACATTTTTGATTTTAATCGGAATACAAAAATGTTACAATTGTTAACTTGTTTTGCATAGGTATTTGTGTCCCGAGGAACGGTATTTTAAAAATTTCTTGTAAAAATTCTTCCCAATCGATGCGTATTAATGTACTGAACATGAGAAAAATTAAAACTAATTTTTTTGAATGGTCCTCAGTTCCCTACCAGCGATTGAAAATCCTGACCTCAATAAAATTTGTGAAAAATAAAATATCTCAAATTTCTTTTAAAATGGGTCTCAAAAATTCTACAATTTTGAGCTGATTACGGAAAAAATAATTTTAAAATTTTTGTAGAGTGTTTATTGTCCACAAAATGATTTTAAGTTGGCGAGACGAATTAATTTGGCTTTTTTAGAAATTGATTATTTGGAGTTTCTCCGCTAAAAGTCGTTTTGCAGACCAGAAATACTCTAACAAAAATTTTAATAATTTTTCTCGCAATAATCTCAAAATTAAGTTTTTGGAACCCACTTCGAAAAGATTGCAGACAATTTTTTTGGCATATTGTACTGACCTCAAGATTTTCAATCGCTGGTAGGGAACTGAGACCCTTTTAAAAAAATATATTTTCTACGAAAAAGTGGTCCACAGCACACCCTATTGTAAATATAGGAGTCTGAGCCCTGAAAAAAATAATAATTATATCGAAAATTATTGTATGTTTTGACAAATTAATGAATAATTTCAATATATCGAAATGCTATAATCAAAAAGTGCTAACTCAAATAAGTCTAGTTTTCAGGTGAGCAAAAACATTTTTATTTTGTAAAATTACTATGGGAGATAGCACTTATTTTTTAAAAAAATATACCAAACATGGAGAATGCATTGTGGAATCATTTGCCATCAAAAACTCTCTTGGGCCCATTGAGTTTAGCATTTTTTGAATATAGAGTGTCGATATAACGATAATAAAAATTGGCTAAATTGGCTAACTAACGTACTTCAAGTTTTTTCATTATTCCATAGCTTAATATCACTTTTATAAACGATTTCAGATCTGAAAATTTTTCCTTTTTGGCTTTATAAAATGGTAAGGTTAAGTTGAAAAGTAATATTAGTTCCTCAAAAGTTTCCTAGGTCTGTTGTGCGCTTCCTTTTCATGGCCACATTTTTGTGTAAAAATCGTATATGTGTATATAGTTTTGAAAGGAAATATGGTCCAATTTTCTAAATCTCAGTAGTCTGATTTAGTATTTTTCAATTAATGGAGGAAATTTGGATCTAACTTCTTCAAAAGCCTAGCAATGACAGAGTAAAATATTCCATCCTTTTCTTCGCATTCTCTACATTCGGCCAAATCTATTCGTCCAATTTTGAATAGTTAGACTTGTGACTGAGTCCAGTCGAATTTGGGGCCTCCTCGTCCCTTCTACATACAAACTTTAATAGAAGTCAACCGGGAACATGTCTAAGATTTAGATACATTTATCAGTTTCTAAGTTCTATGTTGAAAGCATCTACGACGATATGAAATATTACTTTAACATTTTGTACAGATCGGTACACATTCGATTATATAAACTTCTACATAAAAGCATCCTTCTGAAACATATATAGTTCAAGAGCTAGATTGTTTTTGTAATTTAGTTTGTAATATATTGAAATATTACTAGAGTATTTGGATGACTTAAAAATATTTTTCAATGATATAAAAAGAGTATATTCCGTGCAGTTCTAATATATGATCATCATATCATAGATGATTTCCTAATGAAATGGCAATCAATTAGTATTTTGATTTTATCTTTCTGTTTACAACGATTCAAATATCAAGTACTAGCTGAAAGTGAGTCGCGTTAACGGTCCTAATATTAGCCGGTATTAGTGGTTCAGTTGTGATTCACTGAAAATTAAATTCGACGCTATCTATAGAGTAAACAAGAAACTTTACAGAAGCACTTTTCACGATCCCTGGAAAACAATTTTTCCCCAAGATCGGTCAAGATCTCTCTGAGTTACAGTAGACTTATTACCCATTTTTCTTAGCAAAACTTATTTAAAATAGTTTAGATAGCTATTTCTTCTTTCATCTCAAAGCTGACATACTTTGAGAAGCCATTGCCGCCCATGACGTAGATATAGTGGTCTGGAATACTCATTAGCTATTCCTATGTAAAATTTTGTACCGATCGTCCGATCGCCCCGCTGTGCATAATAAAGAACATTTTATTGATTTCTTTTGACCCAAAAAAGAGAAAATAAAAAGGCCCCACTTTAAAAAAAGTTAAAAAAACTTATTTTTCAAAAAAAAAAAAAAAATATCCAAACATTTTCTGTAATTTTCTTAAATATTTTTTCGAAAAATTAAAGAAATAGCTATATTAACTATTTGGAACAAATTTTGGTAAGAACAATAAGTAATAGTTACATAGATAATAAGAAACGCATGTTTTATAAAAACGTCAAACTTTGACCCACTGTAACTTGAAGAGTTCTTGACCGATCTTGTCAAACTACTACCGATTGTGTCTAAACTACTATCCAATGCCAGTAACTTTGGTGCAAATTATTCTGGTCGGAATAAATCGGTTTCAAAAGTTTGGTCACTTGACATGAAATCACCATATGTTTATAGTGGGTTCTTATCTAACCATATTCGTCCATTAAACTTACGAAACTATAGAGCCCACTATAGGATCGTTATAGGGCTGACATTATTTACAAATTTAGAAGGTTTGTTTGGTATTGCAAATATGTAGTACCTTTAATGATAAAATTAATAATTTCCCATATTATTGTAGTTGACAATACAGTCAAGAAATTTCCAATCCTTCCTCGTATTTTAAAAGGAAGAAGTTCTAATGGAATAAGTTTTCAATACCATACTTTTTCCAATTAAATCCAAGTCATGGTAACCATATATATACACATGTATTTAATAAAGACACCTTAAACATAAATAACGCACAAAACTTTTTACCCTGAACATAGTATTAAAGTAGAAATGGTATTTATATATTTATTTATTATTTGTATGTAGTTATATAAATATTTATCACAGTGTCATAAAAAGTTTATATACTGACATAAAAAAATATAAAATATTATAATAAGAAGAAAATATAACCTAAAGTTTATTAACAATATTAAACCCTAAAAGTATGCCAATTATAAAGTACATGACAAATACACTGTAGTAAATAACTCGAAATTAATTTATTACTACCAAGAGTTTTTTTTGTTGAATTTTGCAGTAAAAATTGTTTGTAAAATTAAAATGCAAATTAATTATAACTGTTTTTTCTTAATATTGATAGCTGTCACATAAATTGACTGCTAATTATAATTGATAATATGTTATTGTTACTAAACTTAAAAATAAATATTATAATAAATTTAATTATGTTATATTTTACCAATGTTTTTTTTTTTCAATTTACATTTTTATTATTTTGTGGTAAAATTACCACAATTTATTACTAAATATTTAATACTAATAATTTAAATTTTAATTATCAGTTCAATAACACTTTAATTTGCATGTATGAATTGCATAAAAAAATATAAATTTTAACACTGATTATTTCCTAAAACTAACGCCTGCCAACAAGAGATACTTATTTTAATTTAAATACTGTGCAGATATTATGTCAACATTTAAAAAAAATCAAAGTTTTTATTAGTTTTTTTTTTGTTTTTGTCTTTATCGTTTAGTTTACTTTTATAAAATTGAATTTGTAAAATTATTAAAACATGCTGCATTTTCAGCGCCATTTCGTGAACACGTGCTTTACTCGTTATCACTTCTTACGTGCAGACAGTTTTCAACATAATGGAATGAATGAATTTTGATTTTTTTGTTTTTTGTAAAATTTGGTTTGTAAAAACTTTTACGACATGTGAATGTTTGAATATTATTTGCTTGTTTTGGTAAGTCCAAGTTTAAGTTTATTAAATTTTGCCTTATTAGGGGGCATCACATAACAAAGCATTATTGTGTAGATATGTATTAAAATATTTCAATGATTATCAAATTCGAGACATGTGGTTGTAGTATTTTTGGTATATAACATATACATGTATACATAGTTGTAATAATGATTTGCTATATACTATATACTGTTCGCATTACAAGAGATTCTCTCCCCTTCGTTGAGTCGAACTTTTTTTAAAAATATAAATATACCTTCTTTATAAAGGAGGTCATGTATTATTGACCTACAAATATTTCATTATCTAGGTTAATACTTAAATTTCCACTTAACCTTAAATGAAAAATGTTTTTTATTTTTGAAAACCACCTTAAGTTATTAGCTTCAATTGCTATAAAAAAGCAAATAAATTATTTGAAAAGAATGCAATAATATATAGAAAAATAGACAAAGTACTTAAATACAAAAGAACTAAAATTGCCAGTATATAGAACACATAAAAAGTAAACACTATTCTCCCCACCGATTGACTTTAATTCTTTCTTTTTGAAAAATACTTCTAATCGCCATAATAATGATCATTTATCGAATGCAACCATGTGCAGCCAAATGTATAGGATCTTTATGAATAAATTAAATTCCATTTAATTTTTCGTGGATAAAATCAAGATTTTAGCCAAGATCTTTTTTCCAAAACAATATTTAGTTCTAAAAGAGTTACGAAAATGTTAAGATCGTTTACGGTATTGAAAAATTTGCAGTAAAAATAATAAGAGAAATAATGGAAATTGTTTATATTTTTAAAGTGTTTTCTTTAGTGTTCATAACTATTGCAAAAGCTAATGAAATTACTAAGGAGGAGAATAATGAGGAAACTAATGTTATTAGTAGCGCAGAAGAAAGTGTTAAAATTGACGAAACTAAAAATGACCTAAGAACGGAAAAGGTATCAAGACAAAGTATAAGTTTATGGCCAAATATTGAACAAGATCAGGATCTTTTGTTATTGGAACAAGTTTTGCAGGATATCGAAAGAGGTCAGTGGGAAATTTATAATATTTTGTAATATATACCGTGTGAGAACAAAATGAGCAAAAGTGTTTAAACCAAGAAAAAGTTATAAGTCAAATTGTATAAAAATTAACTACGCAAAATTTAAGGACCTTAACTGTTCTAAATATGTATATTGATAGTAAAGTTTCTTGTATAAAATTTGACAACTCTAGCTCCAATAGTTTCTCAGATATACCAATTTTAGTACTTAATTCATATATGACATTCCACGCCCACTATTGCTAGT